AAACTAAAAGTCAACTTTATTTTTAATTGCATGGGGTGGGGAAATCACAGCATGTAATTTACATAAAATTAGCATATTTAAATGTTGTTTTATGGTGCTATCTCCAAGCTCAACTCCTCACATGACTCTTAAGTGACTTTTTATTCCTTAAAATAATGTTCAAAGGATGAAACCTAAGTTATGTCCAGCAAATAAATATGACATTGATCCTACTAAGCAAAAATTAAAGCCAAGCTTCACACATCTAGCCCCTACTATGAAGACTTCCTTAAAATTCAAAGAAATGCCTGCTCTGTTCACTAAAACATGGTAAATGCAAAACAAACTTTCCAATCAGATTATCCCACCCACCAATAATGATCACTCAAGAAAAGCACATTAACAGGTCACCTTAATAATTTATCTAGAGGCCGGGCGCGGTGGCTCACGCCTGTAATCCCGGCACTTTGGGAGGCCGAGGCGGGTGGATCTCGAGGTCAAGAGATCGAGACCATCCTGGTCAACACGGTGAAACCCCGTCTCTACTAAAAATACAAAAAACATTAGCTGGGCATGGTGGTGTGTGCCTGTAATCCCAGCTACTCAGGAGGTTGAGGCAGGAGAATTGCCTGAACCCAGGAGGCGGAGGTTGCGGTGAGCCGAGATCGCGCCATTGCACTCCAGCCTGGGTAGCAAGAGTGAAACTCCGTCTCAAAAAAAAAAATAATAATAATTTATCTAGAGGCCAGGCAAGGTGGCTAACACCTGTAATCCCAGCATTTTGAGGGGCCAAAAAGGAAGGATCACTGGAGGCCAGGAGCTGGAAACTAGCCTGAGCAAAAAGCGGAGACCTCATCCCTACAAAAAATTAGCTGGGCATGGTGACATGTGCCTGCAATCCCAGCTACTCAGAAAGCTGAGGCGGGAGGATTGCTTAAGCTCAAGAGTTAGAAGATGGTGTGAAACACCTCAGCACTCCAGCTTGGGTGACAGAAAAACCCCATCTCTTAAAAAAAAATAAATAAACTAAAAAAAATAATAATTCATTCAGTTTTTGAAGTAACCAGTATTTTTTAGTCATATTCTACAAAAATCAGCAACGGTAATTAGAGCAATTTTTAATAAAACTTACTCGTAATTTTTTGATAAAAGAAAGCAGTTCACTCCTACAAAACAAAAATTTTTGAATACACATTTAATAATAGAAATCAAGAAAGAAATTACAGGTGAAGGTATATTCTTAATGCTCCGATTCTGCAAGTATGAAAAAGAATGTAATAGTCTACTGTTATAGCAACCTAATAACATTTCTTCCCTGTTTTCATTACATGTAAAGTCTTTAATACTATTCAACCTGAAACACTGCTGGTTTTGAATTCCAGTTGATTAAATGATTTCTTAAAATGACATATAAACAGAAGACATTTCCAAAGGTGGCCATGGCACACAGGTGCATCACAGATGAATACTACAGAACTCCTAAGACTGTCCATCTTTATGATACACAGAATAAAAGCTGATGTTCTTGAAATCAACCTTTAATAGGTTAATAAATAGGATAAACAATAAGAACTCAAATGCAACTGACGGAAACATACCAATACATACCGATACATGATACCTAGCGTAGATTCCCTCTGCTTTATTAAACTAACTCTGCCATCATTTCCTCGCTTGTGCTGACTGGACACACTGCAAATTTGAACAACAACTTCCCAAAGGTCTTTGGCTGTCCGTCTACTTTCTTTAGGGCCTGGAAGTTCTTTGCATGTAGCTGCTAAAAGCTGTCCAAGCTATAACATGAAAAACAAAATACACAAAAGATCACCTGTAACGTCATGCAGATTAGTTCTGTTACCAAGGCACACCGGAGGAAAGATGCGATGACTGCCCAGACAGACAAAGCACAGTTATTTCATGCTGTGCATTCCATACAACTGAGGAATTCAGGGCTCGCTGTCTACTGACAGAGCTGAATCTGAGAAAGATCCTCTGGTTCAAGCAGACAAACTTTGTCTCTGAACAATTATAGACTAGTGAAAATGACAATGAGACAATGCAAAGAGACAGATGATGATCAAGTGTGGAAAAAAACACAAGTTGCTAAATACACATAGTACGATCCCACGTTAGTTACACAGAAAAAAGAAAAGGTGTAATGGAAGGCACACACCAAGATTTTAACTGTAGTAAAAGCCCAGGGGGTGAGATTAAAATGATGCTTAGATTTCTCTCTCTCTCTTTCTCTCTTACACACACAGCTTTTAATCACTGAAAAAAATTGTTTTAATGAGAAAAGTAAGGAAAGGAATAAGGAAACTGAAGTTGGCAGATATAAGAGATACAGATTTAAAGCAATTTTTCTCTAAGAAATTGACACCAATTGGGAATGAAGCTACTATTCATCTGAGGAGGCAGAAATAAGGCAGGACAGGTTACACGAAGTGACTGATGTGAATAAAAGCAGCCTCAAGGACCTAAGATGCAGGGAGCATCCAGAAATAAAGAGTGGAAAGGCTAAAAGCAAAAAGCAGATAAAGACTGACTGACATCAAATTCAGAATTTTTTTTTCTTTTTTTTGGAGACAGGGTCTTGCTCTGCACCCAGGCTAGAGTACAGCGGCACGATCTTGGCTCACTGCAACCTCTGCCTCCTAAGCTCAAACAATTCTTGTGCCTCAGCCTCCTGAGCAGCTGGAATTATAGGCATGTGCCACCATGCCCAGCTAATTTCTGTGTTTTTGGTAGACTCAGGGTTTTACCATGTTAGCCAGGCTGGTCTCGAGCTCCTGGCCTCAAGTGATTCATCCGCCTCAGCCTCCCAAAGTGCTGAGATTACAGGGATGAGCCATAGCACCCAGCCAAATTCAGAATTGGGCCCTTTTATCCTTGTTCATATTAACTTTTATACCCCATGCCTCTTGTAGAGGGTGCAGTAGCGAGCAATTTTGAATTCATCAAGAACCCCTGGTTCCTACTGAAAATGGGCCTACAAAGTTTTCTAGGGGTCCCTACTGCTTAAGGTGGTTTTTTTAAGGAGGTGGCAAGATTGTGATAAAGACAAATTTTTTTATTATGAAAAATTTTAAACAGAAAAAAATCAAAAGAATAGTTCAATAAATACCTGACACATTGTGACTATTCTGCCATGTTTGCTTTACATATCTACATAAATTGTTTTGTTAAACCATATTAAACTAAGTTAGGCACAACATTTCATCCCTAAATGCTTCCATATACATCTTCTAAGAACAAAGACATTCCTCTCCATAGCCACAACTCTGTGATCATGAAAATTAACAAGAGTACTGTGGCTTTCCAAAGCTAGTGAGAGTGACATAAAAACCCTACCTATACTAGGTGAATGGACATGGACCAATAGCCTAGCAGACATTTCATCCAGCATGCTCCCCTAACATACTCTTCTCTGACAACTGGGATCACAATACACGCAGCTATTTACTGCACTGTAATGCCAGGGCTTCAGCAGCTCTTAGCTCAAACTCATCTGCTGTTGTCAGTGATCATATGCTTTAGGTCACTAAATTTATTTTTTTTTTTTTAATATATTTTATTGCACTTTAGGTCATTAAATTTATTGCATAAGTTTAAAAGAATTTTCGGGGCCGGGTGCTGTGGCTCACGACTGTAATCCCAGCACTTTGGGAGGCCGAGGTGGGCAGATCACCTGCAGTTGGGAGTTCGAGACCAGCCTGGCCAACACGGCAAAACCCCATCTCTACTAAAAATACAAAATTAGCCGGACATGGTGGTGCACACCTGTAATCCCAGCTACCCAGGAGGCTGAGGCAGGAGAATCGCTTGAACCTCGGAGGCAGGCGTTGCAGTGAGCTGAGATCACGCCATTGTTGCACTCCAGCCTGGGCAACAAGAGGGAAACTCCGTCTCAAAAAAAAAAAAAAAAAAAAAAAAGAGAATTTTCAGAGGTCTTAGGTCCCAAACCAATTGAATTCCACAAACATTCTTGAGCACCTACTATGTGCTGGGCATCATGGAAAGCACAACATAAAAATCAACTGCCCTGAAGCAGCTCATTATAGAGAAGACAAGTGGACAAATAACTTACTATTCAGCATAAACACAACAAAAGAAGTATCTCAACGGTACAACGGCAGCAGCATCAGTACAACAGTACAAAGGCAGCAAGGAGAGGAAGCAAGTCACTCATTTACACAGAAAAGAATATGAGAAAGTATCAGAGAAATCACACGAACAGGCAAAGCTGGGAAGGACATCCAGGCTAAGAAGGCAAACAGTGTGTGCACAGGTGCAGAATAAGAAACATGGCATGGGCATGCTAGTGCTGCCAGCACAGGGCTGGAAGGTCAAGGGGCAGGGGAGCTGCACCTGGAGAAGAAGCACGCACACCTTAAGAGGCCTGGCAGGCCACATGAACAACCTAAGGTTTTAGCCTACACTAGCATCACTATGACTGCCAACCCCTCCTACTGCTACCTAGACTTTTACCATGCAAGTGCCTATAAATCCTGTGCCCTTCCCATTATGTGGTACTGCCTCCCACCCTGATCCAAGGGGCATACTAGACAGTTTCATATTATTTCAAAAGGGTGTATTTTTAGTCATATGCTTACAAATTTTCTGTTCCTATTTGTGATTACACAATACATATTCGAGTAAGAAAATATGTAACAGAATAGAAAACATTAAAATCACCTAATATCCCATTATCCAGAAATAATGGCTGTTAATAACCTTTCAGACTTTTTCCTACGTGTGTGTGTGTATGTCTGTGGCGTATTCCACACTGCATTGGAAGTGTGGAAACTGATCCAAATTGCATTTTTTTCAAAACACGATCCCTCATTCTAAAATTCTTTCTCTAATTCCTTTTTCCTTGACATTAACAAGGCAGTGAGGCCAATTATGTATGGAAGGTAACACACAAAACCCTAACCACCAGATGACACGAGAAGACACCTAAGTGACTTTTCTTTAACAAAGTCACCACACATCCTTCCTCTTTTGGACCAGATCAGGGGAACTGCAAGAAGCAGTGAGATAGCCTCTTTCAGAGTTAAGCAACCTATAAAACAATTTCCTGTATCTTACACATTGCAGACCCTCAAGCATTCGTTACACAATCATATGCCCATCTCTCCTGCTGCACAGCTCCACAGAATTCACTGCCAGAGGTAAAGCGAAAAGTTACTACACTGTCTTAGCACTCAGCAACAAGCTACGATTCTCCATGTAAATGACAGTAACGTTGGAACAAAAATGCTTCCCTCATCTGATTTTCTTAAGGCTAAGAAAAGACCATTGGGCATAATAAGACAAGTGCCCAAGATATTAAGAACTCATATGCCAGAAAGTTCACTAAAGAGATAGATATGATTCAGGCCAGGCACAGTGGCTATGCCTGTAATCCCAGCTCTTTGGGAGGCCCAGGTGGGTGGATCACCTGAGGTCAGGAGTTCAAGTCCAGCCATGGCAAAACCCCATCTCTATTAAAAATACAAAAAAAAAAAAAAAAAAAAAAAAAAAAAAAATTAGCCAGGTGTGGTGGTGCACACTCGTAAACCCAGCTACTTGGGAGGCTGAGGCACAAGAATCACTTGAACCTGGAAGGCGCAGGTTGCAGTGAATCGAGATGGTGCCACTGTACTCCAACCTGAGCGACAGAGAGGGCTGTCTCCCCCAAAAAAAAAAAAAAAAAAAAAAAAAAAAGAGAGAGAGATAGATATAACTCAATGCTGAAATTTCAAAGAAAAGGATAATTCGAGTATGGCAATTTTCCTGAGCAAGTGTAAAAACAACAAAAAGGGGGGGGAAAACTGAAGAAATCAACAAACTCTCAATAAATCCTCAAAGGGTACAAATGAAATGAGCTCAGGTTTTAAAAGGACATACATGAAATATGAAGGAAGAAACAAGTAACCAAACACAAATGTTACAAAGTGGTACAGTTTTCCAAGAGTTCCGGGATAAACACAGATTTAAAGGATTATGTATTATTAAAGACAAGTTGAGGCAAATAAGGACAAATAACAAAAGGTAATAGCAACAATTAGAAGTAATTAGAAAATACGAAGGACCAAATATATCCAAAAAAGGACAGAGGGACTTACTATGTGAAATCCCATGTTTTGTTTTTTTAATTGTAAGACCAGAAAGTGAGAAAAGTCCACTACTTATTCAGAGTGTGTATAATATTAACATATGAAAGATATAATCTTAGCAAATACCTCCAGTTTCTCTTTAGTTTTGATATTTTCTGTACTCAGAAGCACCTTAGGTTGCAAAGGATATAATTAAGATAACGAAATAAACAACTTACTACTGATTTACTAAATAAATTATTTCATTAGAGGAATAATTACTAATAGCAAACTTGTAAGAGATTCAGACACATCAAACTTAGAAGGGTAAAATTCTAAAGCAGGGTAAAGTGTTCAAATGGAAACAAGAAGTGCATCCCTGATGGTATCCATCAGTTCTACAGTATGATTATAGCAACCAAGGCAAAGACAGTGAATCTCTCACTACCTTAGGATTACACCAACGTGTTGTCTGTCAACTAAATAATCTGTGACTACATGCTCATGAGCTATATGGTATTAAAAAATATATCAGAGCACAATGAAATGCATCAATTATCAAAAACTATCAACAAGCATTTGTCCAATCATTTGTATCACAGAAATTAGACACGTTCCCAAAGTAGTGTAAAGTTAAACAAGCATAATAATACTATCCTAATAACCCTTTTATTTAAACATTAATTACCTTCACATATGGATTACTCTGAAGCAAAAATGCAGGAACTTGGAGTGTAAGGTATTCATTTTCCCTCCAGTTTAACATAAAGGCAACACACTCCTCAGCTATAACTTGACGAAGAGGAATATCTAAAAAGCAAAGAAGAAAACAGTTGGAATTACTATCACAACACTAAAGGAAGAACAAAGCAAATACTTGCCCAGAGTTCAATGGAATAAAAAAACTGGCCAGCTATTGTGACTCACACCTGCAATCCCAACACCTTGGGAGGCCAAGGCAGGAGGTTCACTTGAGGCCAAGAGTTTGAGAGCAGCCTGGGCAATAGAGCAAAACCTTGTCTCAAAAACAAACAACAAAATTTTGAAAACACAGGGTCTTGCTCTGTCGCCCAGTATGGCGTACAGTGGTGTCATCATGGTTCACTGCAGCCTTGACCTCCCAGGCTCAAGTGATCCTTCCATCTCAACCTCCCCAAGTAGCTGGGACCACAGGTCCCACCACACCTAATTTTTACATTTTTGTAGAGATGGGGTCTCATTACGTTGTCCAGGTTGGTCTCGAACTCCTGAGCTCAAGAGATCCACATGCCTCGGCCTCCCAAAGTGCTGAGATTTCAGGTGTGAATCACCATGCTTGGCTACAAAAAATGTTTTAAAAATTAACCAAGAGTGGTAACGTGCCCGTATTCAGGAGGCTGAGACAGGAGGATCTCTGGATCCTAAAAGTTTCAGGTTACAATGAGTTGCCAATATGACCATGCCAATGCAGCCGTCCTGGATGACAGAACAAGACCCTGTCTCAATCAGTCAATCAATAAAATTTGAAAGCCAACAGCTACAGAAAAAATAAAAATAAAAAAAAACTAACATTTCACACATTTCTGCAAAATTTCCCAACAATAGATTGCATGTTCCCCCCATTAATCAACAAAATCACCTATTGTTAGGAGTCAACATTCCTTTGTGCAAATCTAAGAGTAGACACTTATCTTCCAGAAGTTTATCATTCAAGTGAGCAGACAACAATCACACAAATAAGTACAAAATAGTATGGAATAAACTTTCAGCACATTTACAGCAAAGTAGGTAAACCATATAATCAAACTGTAATAAAATCTGAGTTGACATATTTATCCTTTTTTCTGATTAAAATACTCATAAGAGACAAGTCATTCAACAAATATTTACTGCACCAGAAACAATTTTAGGTAAGTAATATGAAAAAAATAACCCAGGCTTATTTTGAACATTAGTTCCTTTGAAATAAATAATTGTTAAATATACCCTAATATATTGTGATTTTTTGTGGCTCAAAGTATGTAACATCAGGTTTTAATGCACTTCAGGAAAAAGGCAAAGAAACCAAAATGAATCCTGAATAACAACGTTAAGACTGAAAATGGGGAGATTTATTAAATGCCTCCTTTTCTAGGGTAACTATATTTCTCAGTTTTTCTAAAAAGATAGGGCCTATGACTATTTAACTCTCAACTTACTCCAAAAGAAAAAAAGATTTGACATAACAAAAAAGATGCATAAGAACATGACAAAATAAAAATACATTATTTGCATCATCTTCTAAGGAAGGAACAGGCCAGGTGTGGTGGCTCATGCCTGTTATCCCAGCTACTAAGGAGGCTGAGACAGGAGAATCACGTGAACCCAGGAGGTGGAGGCTGCAGTGAGCCGAGATTGCGCCACTGTACTCCACCCTGGGTGACAGAGTAAGACTTTGTCTCAAAAAAAAAAAAAAAAGAAGAAATGAAGACAGAAGTGAGATTAGTTCTCCAAATACATGCACACCATTGAGTTCTAAACGTTTTGCCAAAAGGATTCCTTTCATCATCAGGCACTCTCACTCAAGGCTTCATCACCTGACACACTGATTAGTAATACCAGCTGACTAGAGGAATAATTTTTTTTTTTTTTTTTTTTTTTTTTTGAGGTGGCGTCTGGCTCTGTTGCCCAGGCTGAAGTGCCGTGGCGCCATCTCGGCTCACTGCAACCTCCACCTCCTGGGCTCAAGCGATTCTTCTGCCTCAACCTCCCGAGTAGCTGGGACAACAGGCACGTGCCACCACACCCGGCTAATTTTTGTAATTTTACTAGAGATGGAATTTCACCATACTGATGTGCCCGGCCTAGAGGAATAATTCTTAAGGACGAATTAGAATCTAGAAACGGGTCCACGAGTTCAAGACCAGTGTGGGCAACATGGCGAAACCCCAACACTACAGAAAAATACAAAAACTAGCCAGTTGTGGTGGTGAACACCTGCAGTCCCAGCTACCAAGGGAGGTTGAGTTGGGAGCCTTGCTTGAGCGCAGGAGGTGGAGGGTGCACTCCAGCCGGAGGAATAGCAAGAAGCCCTGGCTCAAAAAAAATTAAAAATTGAAAAATTTTTTTAAAAAAGCATCTTACTTAGCTACAAAGGTATTAAAAGTCGAAGTCTCTCTCCAGACATATAATTGGTCTTACAATAAATTTGTAGTCCCCTCATCCCACCTTTTTTTTGAGACAGGGTCTCGCTCTGTCACCCCGGCTGGAGAGCAGTGGTGCCATCTCAGCTCGCTGCAGCCTCAATCTCCCTGGCTCAGACTATCTTCCTAACTCAGCCTCCCTAAGCCTCCATGATAGCTGGGACTCTAGGTACACACTACCATGCCCACGTAATTTCTGTATTTTTTGTAGAGACGAAGTCTCACTATGTTGCCCAGGGTGGTCTCAAACTAAAAAGTTGAAATTTCTTGTCAGTTAAGATCACTTCTTGTTCCCGACAATAAAGCCAGGTCAACCCATGTAAAAGAGTGCTTCCCTTTCTGTGTTCTACAGAGGGGCATGCATCTAATTCATCCAAAAATTGGCCTTCTATCACTAGGGAATTTTCTTTCTTAAAGGAGAGCAGAAAAGGTGGCAGATGATGCTCTCCATGGAGAGACCATGCCTATCAACCCTGACGCTTTCAGCGGTACTGGAGTACAGAGTTGTGAGAGCATCACAGCCACGACGCTATGCCAGACTCAGATAGCTTAGTCTGTAATTGAGGCCTGATCAAAGTCAAAGACAAGAACTGTACCTGTGGAAAAAGATCATGTTCATTTTAGTCTTCTTCCTATTTGAAACAACAGCACCTTTCCTTCTTATTTTTTTTTTTTTTTTTTTTTTTGAGACTGAGTTTCACTCTTGTTGCCCAGGCTGGAGTGCAGTGGTATGACATCGGCTCATCACAACCTCTGCCTCCCAGGTTCAAGTGATTCTCCTGCCTCAGCCTCCC